CTGCGATTTAAGGATTCAGAAATAACACTCGGGTTATTGAGAAATGCGCTGAATGCTTATTGTAAAAGTTGTGATCATTTCAGGCCTCCAATCAGTGAAGAGTGCATGGGAGTCCGATAGGCCTGGGTGACAAGACTGATAACCCTTGCCATGTTGTTTGACGTGAGTGAACTGGAACAGAACTAACTGTAAACCCTTTAAGAGGAAACAGTCGGGCATGTTGTTCCTGTCAGCTGGAGTCTTTGCAAAATATACTGTGAAGTTCTTAAGTAATTTCTAGTGCACAGCAGGAAATCTGTGAGGGAAATTATTTGAACCATCTTTTGTGTCAAATCCTTTAGTCTAAAGTGCTGTGAATATTCAGGAAACAGATCACTTGAACGTAGCTGTCATTTAAAACTCACTTAGCAAACCCATGATTGTTAACAGAAAGATCCCAACCCTGTCTACTTCAGTCAAACGTCTCCAATTCCAGCCATGTTCACTTTCATTATCACATGGAGACATGACACTGTCCACTCACAGTAACATCTACCACATTGCTTCACTCACCCCTGCTGAATCTCCACTTTAGCTACTTCTATTCAGATCAGGGACTGAGCTGTGCCCACTCCTAATGACACTTAGAACTCCATTCAGTCCTGGATATTTTGTGAAAAAGGGTTAGTTTTCTTCAGTGGGGAAGACTTAAGTGAATTCTGCTTTTCACCCAACAGCCTCAGATAGAGAGAATGTGAGTCAAAGGCCTGTGCTTTGATCCAAGATTCTGGTTTGTGCCTGAAATCAATTGCACTCCGCTGTGAAGATGTCTCTATGCAGTAACATCCTTAGAAAATGTTGAAGCCTTTTAGCCACAGCACTGACATCTAGTATCTTGCTAGTTAACAGGCTGCCAGCACAATGGATTCTGTTGAAACAGACCATCCAAATATTCAGTAAAAACCAAAAGAACTGAGAATGCTCTAAATCAGTGACAAAAATAGAAATTGCTGGGAAAGCTCAGCAGGTCAGGCAGCATCTGTGGAGAAAAATCAGAGTTAACGTTTTGGGTAGAGTGACCTTTCCTCAGAGTTCTGAGGATGGGTCCTCAACCCGAAACATTAATGTTGATTTCTCTCCACAGATGCTGCCTGACCAGCTGAGCTTTTCCAGCAATTTCTATCCAAATGTTTAGTGTCTGGTGACTGTTTGATAATGATGGGTTACCACTGAAGGAGACTATTCCTTTATCACAGAATTTTTAGGACTCGTTACAACTGGAATGAATATAGCTGTGCTTCCAGATGTTCTGAGAAATAGGTAGTCATTGGAGGTCCAGCTGATGATAAGAATGAACATGGCTGTAACTCCAGATGTTTATAGATCAGAACTGGTCTTTCAGATGTTTACCGCAGTGGACAATGTGAGTATTGAATGCAATCAAACCAGTTTTATTGTATTGAAATTCTCTGACAAGAAACAGGCATAGGCTTGTGATTTCAATGCAATCTAGTGAGTTTCTCTAAAGATTGTCATTAAGGTCTTCGATCATTAGGTCTTAGGTGATTGGAACAAATGGTTTGTATCCAGTTGTTGAACTGAGATATAGGAAAGGGTCACCTGGCAAAGTAGCAGCGATTTCAAAGCTTGTGATTTTAAATAAACCTGTTGGACTACAACCTGGTGTTGTGTGACATCTGACTTTGTCCAAGCCAGTCCAACACCGGCGCCTCCACATCAAAAAGGAAAGGAATAATCAGCGAAGGACCTCATCTCTCTGATTTAGCCTGAATGGCTCCATTCCCAGAACAGCAGAACTTATGATTGTCCAGAATTTCTGTCTTCTTGCTGTGTAATTATGTCAAGTTGGTGAAATGTTTTGCTTTGAAGGTGAATGGTGAATGACCAGCAGCTGTACAATGTGGAGCTGCTCAGAACCTGACTCCACATCTGGCTTTGTTTGTGAGTGAGAGGATTGATCAATGTAAGTCTGGCTAATGTACACTCAGATTCAAACTTGTAATATTGCAACACTACGAAGCAGTATAAGAGGTTTGGGAGGACAAGGAACTGTTCTATGCCTCTTTAGTTCTCTCATTAAAAGTAAACTACCATTAAAAGCAAGTTTATTATGTAAACATTGACCAGCTTCAGAGTGACATCTTGTTTGAAGAAATTTAAAATTAAGCATGCTTGTTGTTAGCAAAATATTGTCATATTTTTAATCCCCTCCTCTCTATCTCTATCTTTCCATCTCTCTTCTTGATCCCTTGCTCTCCCTCAGTTTCCCCTTATCTGTCGTCCCTTTCCTCCTTCTTCCTCCTCTGTCTTCATCCTTTCTTTCCTCCTCCCACCTCTTCTTGTCTACCTTCTTCCTCTCTCACCATCTGGCCGCCTCTGCTCTCCACTTCTAACTCTCTCTTCAGTCCCACTCTATCCCTCCCTAGCTGTTCTCTTCTTCTCTCTTGTCCCCTTTCTGCTACTTTCTTTCCCTCACCCCTTCAATTCTGTCCCTCAGTGGTACTATCTCTCCATAATCTCAAAATTCGTGATTCCATGCAGTGATGTAAACTTCAACGTGACAGAGCAAAGGTGTTGAAGGGTCTATCATCTATGATTCATGCCTGCCAAGTTTTTGTTATGTTGCTTCCATTATCCAGATTCATTGCCCTGCCTCAAACTGCATCATTTTCTGAGCCAAAACTTTGAAAGTATGGAATACCTTGGGCTTCTCACCTGACAATCAACAGACTGTAAAACCCAACCTTATTATAACTAAGTCACCCAGTTTTAGTGTTAAACTTGTGCCTGGATCCCAGCTTCTAAGTAAAGTTGGCACAGTGAAAGAGAGACAATGTCAAATCACTATTCGGAAGGTGCAATCTTTTCAATGATGCCATTGAGTTTCTATGTAGAGTCATTTTCTTATCAGACTTGGGATGTGGGCGTCACTGGCAAGGAGCATTTACTTATCATCCCACACAGATTCACAGTCTGCTGATAAAGTGGACAATGTTTATTTTTTCGGTGACTGATCCCGAGAGAATCTACAGTTTATGGTCTCCTATCCCTTCTGATCTTGCGGGTTGCTTTTGGTTTCATCTCCACCTCCTCCGATCTTTCACCCAGTGCAGCAAATCCTGGCCTTGTTTTCTCCTAATCCTTTCCCTTCTTCTCCTTTTGTCTTCTCTCCATCCATATCACTCCTCCTCTAATCTCCTGTCCCGTCCCTTTCTGCTCTGTCCTTGCCCATTGTCCTGTAGAAAGATGGCATCTGATTTGATCCTTTCAGAACTCCTTCCTTCACAGTGAGCTTAAAACTGTTTGCTGGTTAATGACAATTTCCAGCTGATAATACTTGCTTACAGAAGAGGGGTTGACTATGGTCTGTCATGTGTAACCATAACAACTCACTGAATGGAATATACCAAAAGAGCTCTAACAACTGTAAAGATAATTGGCAGACTCAAGTGCCAATCAATGCCAGGGCTTTAATCTGTTGAAGAGACGATTGTGAAGTGGGAATTCTAATTAACAACTAATTGTTTTGGAATAATTAATTTGCAGAATTTAGAACTTATTACGTCTCACCAATAGTGTCGCTACAGACTGAATACAGCTTTTGAAAGAAGAAATGTATTAACTATGAACTCAAACTTTTGTCTCCGTCCCCACATTGATAGTAATTCCCAGATGGGAAGCACATAGACAAGAGTGAATTATTTATCTGTGCTCTTCATTCGCTTCCAAACATTGCATAACTGGCCGCATCGTATGTATATTGAGTCAAGCAAGTCCCTGCTAAAAGGTGTCAGCTGCACAGGGGCACAAAGTACTGGAAATGCTAAGCAGCTCTGACAGCACACGTGCAGAGAGAAACAGAATTAATGTTTCAAGTTGAATGCGACTCTTCTTCAGAATCTGCACTATTTTGCTTTTATAGAAGTGGAGGCTGCATTAGAAGGTACATTAGCGTGGGTGACGAAATCACCTGAGTTACTTCAGACTGGCTCAGTTCTGATTTTCATTCTATTTTCACAGCCCTGGTTTCAGGCATGACGAGTGGGCGTTGTGTGTTAATGGAGGCTGGAGCACATTGTCTCTTGCTGAATTCTGATAAGACCAAGGGTTTGTCAGCTTCCATTAAATTACTATCTCTTTCCACTTTTTTGATTCCTGTGTGATACATGCTGCTTCTCACTGTTCTATGTTTCCGCACTGCTCCTGATTTGGTCTCCTCACCCATTTTTGAATGGACTGCCAGTACTAATCCAGCCTTTGTTTATTGAGCTGTCATCTATAATTTCTGGTGCTTTAGATATGACTGCCAAAAGATATGTATCGTATCAGCATGAGTAATTCCATGACTTGCCACGAGTAAATGTAGAAGTAATCACCAGGAGAATACCGCTTGGAAAATGTATGAGAGGGCAAAAGACACTCACTGAATTCTTTTCCTTCACCACTGTGTTCCTTTAGGGGAGGTTGGTTTGAGATTGCAGAGGGCTGCTGGTAGCAGACGTTGTGAAATGACAATGACAACAAGAAATATTGGAAAGACTCAGCAGGTCAGAGAGAGAGGAAGGATGTTCAAGTCTCTCAAGAACTTCTGCCTGACCTACTGCGTGTTTTTACTTCAAATTTCCAGTACCTGCAGTGTTTAACCTTTGTTTTATTATTGGCTGATAGGAGGACTCTGGAATTAACACAGAAGTCTAAGTCCAGCCCACAGTCACTTGTATTTAAAGGTGCTATGTGTGTGAATTGGAGAGATGATGGACTGTTAAAAACCAATGATAACTCGGATTCCAGATGTTTATTTTTAGTACTTCCCACACTTGAAACCTCACATCCAAAAACGTGTTGCTTGGCATTGAATTTTGCAGACATATCCTATATCTAAATAACATGTCACCCAACTATATGTTCATCCATTCGCAGATCCAGAAGTAAATGTTATGACTGCTGGATGTTGAGTTTTTGTATAACAAGCATCTTTCTATTTTCTGAATACCATTTAGATCTGGAATGTGGAGATATACCATTGCTGACACCCAGCAGCAACAAAATGATGTCTCAAGCCCTTAAGGACACATTCAGTGAATTCACGAGGGTACAGCAAAGACTGGGAATTCCAAAAGGTAAACACTACCGCTTGCTGCAATTGAGCTTGTTGTATACTGGTTTCACCTTGGGTAGGTATCCTTCAGCTAAATGCTGGTATAACCTGGAGAAATGTAATTTTCATTGTCAGAGAGGCTTACTTCCCTCCTTACTTTGTTTGTTACTATTTCATTTTTTTGTACATTTAACCTCAAAAAATGGCACTCAACTTTCCCAAAATCGAACTGCATGAGGAACACTGCATTTTGCAAACTCATCAGGGCCATTTATTAAATAATGCTCAGACATTTCCAAAATAAATGTGCATGAAAATCATTTGAGTGTAGAAAATGATTCTTGGTTGCACCATTTGTTTAAATTCAGTCCTGTTTGGATTTGACAATAACGTTTGTTAATTTTGGATTTGGATGAAAAATTTGAGCTAATATTGGTTCTACATTTCGACTCAGCAATGTGATTCAGTGGAAAGGGGTGAAATTGCACATGGGCTGAAGGTAAATGAAGAAACCAATCAAGCTCTGATCCTCTACCATTTCTGACTTGGTGATATCAGTAGGGAAATGAACTCGCATTTCTAAACATCACATTTTTAAACTTTAGATTTCTTTGCTTCCCTTTCATGCTGGCAGTGACCAATTTTAGGAGATTTATATAAAATTGATCAATCTCCAAAATTAAAATAATAACCAATTAAACTAGCCAGTGTCTACTTTGAACGTATATGAGCGACTTCCACCCACATGTAGTCTAGTGAGTACCAGCCTTTGGTTGGATAGTTAGTTTGGAAGAATGTGAGCTAATAGTGACTACATACTTCCACTGAATTGAGAGATCAACTCAACTCGTTTCGGTGTTTCTGCTACTGCAGCTGCTCGGTCTGGAATTAGACACTATCAGGAGACATTTACTCCACAGGATTACTTTGTCCCCAGTCACCCTGTCCAATCTCAGTCCCCCAGTACTTCTAATAAACTGAAGAAAATGAAAATAAAGCACATACTTTTTAAACAAAAAAAATCTTTTTCATAGTTTTTATGACTTATATGTAATAGTGTCCAGAAGGTTAAGCTTTAATTCTTGAAACTTCTAGGTCAGTCCTGGAAAGTCTGTACCTCTACCCTGAATAGAATCTTTTATGAAACCCTCTAAGCAGTGCTGCACCGTGGCCCCTCCTGTACTTTGAAAATCACAATGATTATTATCAGATACAGAAACACCACGCGTTTGTTATGTCTCCCTGCAGACCCACGACAATGGATGGATGAGCATGTGACTCACTGGTTAACCTGGGCTGTGAATGAATTCAGTTTGAAGAATGTAGATTTCCACCAGTTGCAAATGAATGGAGCCACTCTGTGTGCCCTGGGCAGGGACAGCTTTCTGGAGTTGGCCCCTGACTTTGTGGGTGACATCCTGTGGGAACATCTTGAGCAACTTCAGAAAGGTAAGCCACAGGCTCATGGCATTAACCTTTCCTTCCTTATTGTTGGATCATGCCCATGGGATATTTAACAGCTCTCTGACTTAAATGCTGGAAGGGTGCAGCATTTGTTCTATTGTAGTGTATTGCATATCAATTAGACATTTACCTGCTGTGCTGGAGACCCTCCACCAACTTGCAGTATCCCACTAAGGTATTTTGAGTGGCGGTGACCTAATGCTGCAAGTGTGTGTGCCAGCTGGCCATAAAGAGGGTGAGTGCATTGTATTGGCACTGATCGAGAAAACCCTTTGTCACAAAACTACACTATTGATGGTGAGGAGTACACAATCTCATGACTATTTTTCCCAGGTCCCATTTTACCTGTATCTTTCTTAAAAGCTAAATCGAGTTATATTTAAGACAGTGTTTGCACATTAAGACTTTGCTGTGTGTTTCTTTTCAAAAACTACTAATTTCCCTTTTCATATCTGACTGCTGCACTGACCTCAGGACGGTAGAAGTGTACTCTTTTCTGATGACAAACACTGCACTCAGACTGCCTGGTGATATCCAGAGAGACACTACTGTATATGTGAAACTGGTCTTGCTTAGGGAGCAGTAATATTTTTAAAAGTTTGACAAAGAATATATAATCGATTTGAGTGGTTAATTTGTGTCACTGTAAACATGAAACATGTACAGACATGTATGCACATACAGACACATATACACATACATGCGTACACTCACACACGTATATGCACACACCTGTTTAAACAGACGTATACGCACACATTTACACACACATACACAAATTTGCCATTAATGAAGCTGAGAGTGATGCAGATATCAGTAATGAGATTTGATTTGATGTGGTTAATGGTGCAACTTCTAATAGTTGAAGGTTTTGTGATAGTGTTGGTATGTAAGGACGATTTTAAAGTCATAGAGGTCTACAGCACAGAAAAGGCCCTTCAGCCCATTGTGTCTGCTGGTCAAAAACAACCACCTAATTTTGTCCAGGACTTGGCCCATAGCCTTGTATGTCTTGGCATTTTGTTGTATTCTTTCATGGGAAGTGAGTGTAGGTATTTTTTGCCAATCCTAATTGTCCTCGAAAGTTGTTGAGGATTTGACTTTTTGAACTGTTGCATGCCATCTGATATAACAAGTTCTATAAAGATCATGTGAAAGCACTTTCGGGATGCTGGCCTGTAATGTAACCTCGCCTGGTCTTTCACACTTCTGTATACTTTTACCACATTGTCTTAGACTGGGATGTAGCTCACTTCAGTCTTCAGCCTTGCTGAAGATCCAACATGAGGGTGATTGGGGAATATGAACTCAGCTGATAGCAGAATGTGTCCCAGCTGGGAAGTGCCCCTGACTCATCATGTGTGCGTCAGAAACGCATCTTTAATGCAAAGTGTATCATGTAGTGCATCACGGATAAGCAAAGGGAAAACAATCGGTACCAAATTTAAATTGATAATCTCACTCACAAGGCACAAGGTGGCTGATATGGCACTTGTGCAACAAAGTGGTGCACTCAGAATTTGCACATTGAAGAGGGAGCTTTACTCTGTATCTGTGCTGTATCTGTGCTGTCCCTGTCCTGGGAATGTTTGAGGGGACAGTGTAATGGGAGATTTCCTTTGCATTAAGCCAAGTTGTATGTGACTGAGAGATTGAATGTCTACATTGCAGAGTGGCCCATTACGCATCTCAAGCATCTTCAAGACAGTCTCAACTTGATTACTGTGTTAAGAGGCTGTTTTTTAAAGAACGTTGTTTACTGATTGTTGAATTTCATTTCTGTCAGAATGCCAAGAAGACATCAAGCCCTACGTGGTAAATGGAGTCGTTTCCAGTTACTCTGAAAACAGTCTCTTCTCAACCTATCCCATGGGTAAGTTAGAGCTTAACCTCTGGAAGAGTTAGCCCAGGGTCAGCAGCACCTGGAATGAATGAACTGCCTCAGGGATACAAGACTTCTTCCCATCATACTTGGGTCCAGACTTGGACATGGGGTGCTTGCAATGTCATTCAGGAGTGGTATGAATTGTGGGCAGTGTGCATCAGAATTGGTACAAATTTGGACTGGTGAGAATCAAGATGCTACTTTGATGTGAGGACCATTCTTTGAAGATACCAATTCTCCTCACAGCTTGCAGTTTTGATTCTACTTCTCAGAAACTGTTTGTTTCTCTGCTGTACATTAATTTCAGTCTTCCTCCTGACAGGGTACGGCAGTGAACATGCACAGTGTGTTCCTCCATCTGAATACTCCGACCCAGGATTTATTACAGAGTCCTACCAAACCCTTCATCCTATCAGCTCGGAGGAGCTGCTGTCTCTAAAGTATGAACCGGATTATCAGGCTGTGATCACTCGCGATGCTCCTGTGGAGTCACTGCAGGCCGAGTATTATCTCAAACAGGAAGTGGTGTCGCCTGACAACATGTGCGTGGGCCGCATTAGCCGAGGTATGTTGTGAATATGGGGCAGGGTAGCGAGGTTCCAGATGGCCAGGAGTGCAGTAGTATCCTGTGGCTAATTCTGTGGAACTGCAATGTCTTCGAGGAAAGGCTGAATTTAGTCAGGGTTGCTGACTCTCTAGAATTATCCTGGAATCTTCACGACTTGAAGTTTCACATTTTGACCACAGCTGAGTGCAAGGCCTCTGAGAAAAAAAATAATTTTAGAAACAGAAAACAAAAATGATTTCCCTTTCTTTGACACTTCCCACTTCCATTTATAAACTTGAATTCATCTGTCTGCAACCTTCATATAACATTTGATTCTGAGGTGATTTTCCAACCTCATATGAAAGCTGCAGATGCTGGAAATCTGAAACTGAAGAAGAGTCACTGGACTCTCAACATTATAAATCTGTTTCTCTCTCCACAGGTACTGCTAGATCCACCAATTTCCAGCATTTTCTGCCTCATATTCCATCATTCCACCTCTGTAACATTGCTTGACTTTACTCTTATCTCAGTTCGTCTGCTGCTGAAATCCTCATCAATGATTTTGTTACATCTAGACCTGACTATTCCCACACACTCCTGTTTGGTCTTCCACATTTCTACGCTATAATCTTGAAGTCGCTCTTAACATATGAGGAATGTTTGAGGACTGTGGGACTATACTCATTGGAGTTTAGAAGGATGAGGGGGGATCTAATTGAAACTTTCAGAATACTGAATGGCCTGGACAGAGTGGATGTTGGGAAGATGCTTCCATTGGTAGGAGAGACTAGGACCCGAGGGCACAGCTTTAGAGTAAAGGGAAGATCTTTTAGAATGGAGATAAGGAGAAACTTCTTCAGCCAGAGGGTGGTGAATCGATGGAACTCACTGCCACAGAAGGCTGTGGAGGCCAGGTCATTGAACATATTTAAGACGGAGATAGATAGGTTCTTGATTGGCAGGGGGATCAAGGGTCACAGGGTGAAAGCAGGAGAATAAGTTTTTCAAACCCATCAGCCACGTTTGAATGGCAGAGCAGACTTGATGGGCTGAATGGCCTAATTTTTTCTCCAATGTCTTAGGGTCTTCTCTGCTGCCTGTATCTTGACTCACAACAGGTCCCATTTCCTTATCTAACTCACTGCTTGCTTTCCCCTTTAGGACACTTTTATTCAAGGCTACCTCTTTGATCAAGCTTCCGGTTACCTTACCTAATATCTCCTTTTACGGCTCAGTGTCACACATTTTATAACGCTCCTTTGATAAATGTTCCATTATGCTAAAAGCATGATTAAAATCTAATGTTTTGTTGAATGATATTAGCATTGAAAGAGTAAAGCTGTTTCAATAGTCAGGGTCACAGAATGAAAGAATTGTAATGGGGCAGAAGGAGGCCATTTGGCCTATTATACCAGCCCTGGCTCATCTAATGAACGTCTTTACCTAATTCCAATCTCTTGCTCTTTCTCCTATACCCTTGATGTTACTTTTATCCAAATAATCATCCAATTACCTTTTGCATGCTTCAATTGAACCTGCCTCCACCACATTTCCAGACAGTGCATGCCACACCCTAACTACTCACTGAGTGAAAACGATTTTCTTCCACTATTGCCTTGCTTCTTTTGCAGGATCAGTGTCAATCTATATCCTTCTATTCCTGTTCATTTTACTAGTGGGAACATTTCCTCCCAATCTACTCTGTAAGCACACCATGATTTTGAAAACCTGTATCAAATCTTCTCTTAGCCTTCTTCTCTCCAAGGTCAATAGTCCAAACTTCTTCAATCTACCCTCATAACTGAAGTTCCTCATTCCTGAAACCATTCTTGTAAATCGCTTCTGTATAGACTCCAATGCATTTCCAATAATGTGACACCCGCAACTGTACACAGCTGAGGTTTAACAAGTGTCTTGTACAGTTCAGCATCACCTCCTTGCTCTTGTACTCCATGCCCCCTATTAAGAAAACCAAGGATATTGTGTAATTTACTTTATTACTCTCTCTATCTATCCTGCCATTTTCAATGATCTGTGTACACAAAAATATCCAGTCCCTTCTGCTCCTGCACCCTCTTCAGAATTCTCCTTTATAGTGTCTTTCAATGTTCTGATGAGTTCATTTGGGTAACAGGGCTTGTTCTTTCGGACTGGTCAGTGGAGTGCACCGAGTGGAGAGATCTAAAGTGCAAAGTCAGGGCTGTTCTACGTAGGTGCTCATGTGATATATCCCCCAGGAAGATATCCAGCCAGAACTGAGATATGCTAGCTATGGGATATCCCTAGACTTGCTTGTTAAATGGATTAAGGTTGGAATTGATGTTTGCTGCTAAAATTCAGTAATCTTTGTGAATAACTTGTTGAAAAGATGACCCAGATTAATGGACACTGTAAAACGGTGAGAGGCTGAGGCAGTAAGGCAGCTGGAGACTGACTGTGGAAATTAGTACCTTGATAACACTTGAGTGTGACACTGTGCTCTGTGACTAATTCTTACTTGGAACAGGATTGTTCCTGTGATACTAGAGAGTGATACCAATCTCAAAAGACTTGTGCCGGGCTACATTTGTCATTTTTGCTGATCAGCATGTCTTTTTCTTGCCGCTTCAGTCTTTTTCTCTTGAGTTGAAAGCCTGTGCTGACAACTGCAAACAATTATAGCTGAAAGCAGACAGAAGCTGCAGCAAACTGATGGAGAATAGGTGTTTAGTTCCAACTGGATACTTTGGAGTTGTTATCAGAGACAGTGAGGGAACGTGTCAACTGACTCCAGTGTAACAGCTAAGACATGGAGCCTGAAGATGAGATGAATAATTGCTGTGGTGACTATTCCTGCAGAACAAGTCACAACTGGAAACATTGACTTCATGGAGCCGTGCCAAAAAAACTGAGCGCCTTTAAAGTCATTGTATATAGAGATTATCTGGGACCAACAGTGTCCTGATGAATACTTCACTGTGTTTAAAATAGGAATAGCAGTAAACCATTAAACCCCTTCAGCTTGTTACAACATTTGATTTATATCAATCGAACTGCCTTGCTTCTGTAACCCTGAATTCCCCACATCTAACAATAAAAGATTGTTAACCCCCAGTGAGAAACTCTCAATTCACCTTCTGCTTGTCAACTTTTGGGCGGAGCATTAGTTCCAAATTTCCACGATCCTTTCTGTGAAGGAAGTGCTTCCTGATACCCTGGATTTTATTCCCCGCCACCGTTTCTGCTTTTCAGTTGGACTTCCCATGTCCCAACCCAAAATAAACTTTTACTAAAGCTCTGCCTTATTCTATTGCCAGTGATTTTAAAATGCCTAACAGTTACCAGTTCACTGGCCAGCGAACAGTTTTCTTTTTCTAATTCATCTTATTGAAATTTCCTAATTATATGAAGACTTCAGACGGATGTGCAGGCTCGGTGGATTGGCCATGCTAAATTGCCCATAGTGTTCAGGGCTGTGTAGATTAGGTGGGTAACAGGGGGGTGGGTCTGGGTAGGATGCTGTGAGGGTCAGTGTGGACTTGTTGGGCCAAAGGACCTGTTTCCACACCTTAGGGATTCTATGAGATCTATGAATCTCCTTACGTTGTCGTCAAAAGAGGCCCAGTTTTTTCAGTTCTCTTCTCGTACGAAAGCTTTTCATTGTAATATCATTGGGATGAATCTGTTCTGTACCATAACAATGACATTTGTCCAAATATAAAGCACCATACGAGCTGCCAACTGAATTAGGCAAAAACCTGACATATAGGCACACAGAGATAGTAGGAACTGCAGGTGCTGGAGAATCTGAGCTAACAAAGTGTAGAGCTGGATGAACACAGC